TTTTTTTTTAATATACGTACCAATCTATAAGTGACTCAGAAGTAAATAATGCTCGCATTGACCACTTTTTAGCATCTGTGCTGGAATTTTAATTAAAATACAACACCAAGCACCATGCATTGTTACCAGTACATTATTGGCTGCGTCGACGTGATGGGTTTTTAGAGAATCGCCGTGGCAATGGACGGTTTCGTGAACAGGGGTTTCCGACTTGAGGCAAGAACAACGGCAGTTTGTCCCAGCCAACAAGTCGAGAGGCGTCGGGAGACGAAGACGAGCTCAGAGCTCAGCGACACAGAGTCTACACTACAAGCTTCGTGAAGAGAAGGAGCCAGGCTCCCAGCATTTATGCACAGCAACCCGCCTGCCGGGGTTACCCGCTCCGATGAGCTTCGCAGTAACGTCGTTCGGCTCGAGTGCCTGTTCGAGCTCCCTGAAGCAAATTGGGACGGCCCAGTGTACGCTCGTCTCCATGAAGCTTGACACATGCGACCTGGGCACACCTCGCCGTTTGTTGTGGATGATGCCGTTCGCCGCTCCGGGTGGGGCTGTCAGCTCCTCTACCGTCGCAACGAGACCGAAGACACTCATGCCCAGGCCGAGGAGCCGGAGTTACAGAACATTGTGATCCTCTTTGAACGCCTGACGCGGCCATACAATAATCTTTCGGCGGAGCTCGCGACCGACCTTTGTTAGTTCGCTTCCGCTTTGTACGCATCAAGTCCTGCTACCTAGCTACCCTAAGACCAATCCCTCGGCGTTTCGTTGACGCATCTTTAGATGTCTTCTTAGTTGGTCAACTGGTTGCGTACTTCTCGAGCGATGGATTCACCTTCAACGCCCCCTCCGGCGCGACATTACAGCTCACTTCACGTTACCTCTGTGTTGTGTCAGTTCGCCAGCCAGCTGCGGCGTCCGCGGTCCATGTGATGGTTTCATGCAATTTGGCATGGGACTTACTAATTTCCCGTGATGGATTTGTGGCGGGGTGGTGCCATGGAGTACCGGCATCCTCCCAACCTGCTCGCCACCTGGACCGGTTTCGCTCACGATGGCCCGAGTTCGTTGTCACACCATCCACAGAGGTGGAACCTCAGCGCCTTTTGCGCGACACGTTTGCACCAACAGGTTCGGACACCCAAGTAAACTTCGGGACACAGCCCATCCGACTGGTCTCCGAATTTGGTCGTGTCATCACCGTATCCCCACTGAGTTATGCAAAGAAGTACGTCAGGCTGGCTTGCCCAACGACACGTTTGGATGCTGATGAGGACAGCGACTCGGAGACTCCGGCGGACATTCTCGCGCTCGGCTTTTCACGTGGACGACCATTACCGCCCGGCATTCCGGACTTTGTGTGCGAAACGTCATTACCGGTCCTGGCTCCCCCGGTGCCGTAACGTTGGTACTCTGGTGGGGCCTCCGAGAGCTCCACGTTGCCGTCGGAGCCCAACCATTCCAGGAACGCACAGTATGTGGACGGGATCCAGGAAGCCCGGCTTTCTGCCGTACCAATCTCGATACCACCTGTGATTTGTTTACCGGTCCAGAAGGCTGGCTCCCTCGCACTGCAGAACACAGTGCGCTCGCACGAAACTATCATGGCCACTCTTGTAACCTTGACCCAGTTCACCCAGCAGATTGCTGCAGCCACGCAGCAGATACTCCAAATAGCAGACGCACGATGGTCATTCAGACCATCGGTCAACACATGCACCCAGGGGTGTTCGTTCTAGTGAGCCATCAGGTGAAGCCTCGCTTAACCATGCACGGTCATTTCGGCGCGATCAGCGCCACCACCTTCTTCGTGACCATTCACCAATTCCAGCGCGTGATCGCGCTGGGGACAACCACGACGGGGTGGGCGTGCGCGGCCGTTGGCCACGGAGCCCAGGACATGACCAGCAGCGGGCTTGTCGGGATGATGACGTGCGAACTTTGGAGGACATACTTTCCGTTGCAACCTCCTTTTGCCCCCCAGCAGCAGAAGTACAGGTACATCGCGCGGGCCCCCGACCCAACGGTACGAGCACTGTCTTCATTTCGGCAGCTCTCCCTCCTGGATCGCGTTTCAGCCATCCAGCATCATGAATCGCTTCGGAACCGCTAACGCTTCACCAAAGTGACAGCAAAAATGTTGTTTTCAGTGAATTTTTTGGAACGAGACTCGACCATTTCTTGCCGGCCGCACGGAGTGGCAACGAGCGTTCAGTTACGCGTGGTCCAGCAACCTGGTCGTCAGCAGACACAAGCCTAACGGCTTCAATTCACACTAGCGAGGACCTCAGAGCGACTTTATACTGCATCCAGGAGGCAGCCTCCGAATGGTATCCCCGCCCAATGGCAGAGGTTTCGAGCTGTCCAAGGTGGCTCTCTCGACCGACTTCTCGATAACGCCCCTCGAGGTCTCGTGTGTGCGACCACCAATCTCTACACTCACGTCTTTACCAACATCTTCCATGCTATTCGTGATGAGCAGCCGGAGGCCAGCTTGACAGACCAAGCCAGGCGCATCCTATCGCATGACTCCGAGGATTACCGGCGATTCGTGGGGAGCGTGATCGGCCAAGCACTCCTTAACACATGGGCTCACCAGCGGCCCCGTGGTGCGTGTGGTCTGATACAGGCGTCAGACTGTGGTGGGCCGCCATATCGTTTCAGCCCGAAGGCACAAATAATGAAATGGAGTCGCGGGCCATTTAATTGGGCTTACGATGGCTCGATCTACATTGTCGGACAGTGTCGATCCGGATCGTGGGTGACTCAACAGTAATCATAAATATGCTCCTCTCAGTCTGGCGCGTTCGGTCCCTTAATTTGGTTCCTTCCATCTGCGAAATTTGGGCCATCCTCCTGCGCCTTTGAATGGTCACGTTATCGGCTGCACCTCGGGCTTACAACAAGGCCTCGAATGGGCTTTGCACCTGGATCATGGACACCAATGGGACGGCTTCAACTTTCGACCGCTCAGCCGCGGACACTGCGTGGCCATTGCCGCCCTCGTTGTCCGGGGATCCTATCAGCAATGGATTTGTAGCCCCGACATTCCCATCGTTGCCTGCCTACGACTTCTACTAATCGAAGACGCAATGGCACCTAGTAATGCTGGATTTCGAGCGTGTCGCTCACATAGTTCGAGTAGGCCTCCTTCGTCGTCTGCCACCAGCGCGCTATGACGGACAGCGGACTCAGTGGGTACCCCTTGTTTCAACTACGGCCCAATTTGAATCCTCTCGCTTCGACACCAATGTACCGCGATCGTGCTCGGTAAATGGTATTGTCAGGTGCGTCCCGTTAGGTGTATCACGCCGATTTTCAGTCATAGCCACACCGAGCGGTATTTCATTCCCCGCGAACACCGTGTTCCTACAACCTACCGCTGAGTGGTTCACTATTCCAGACGCGGACGTACGATTGCTTACGGTTTTTGTGCGTCTCCCCCACATGAGAATCGATGACACACTTCGGTTATTCCGGGGACAAACCTCGCTAGACCGACGTCCAAACAAGTCACTGCGGCCTCAGTTGTACCAGGTACATTTGTCTACTTACACGGACCTTTAATTGCTTTGCAGCATCGCGGAGGACGGGGTGGTTTCACACTGGCGGAATCCGTCAACACGCACAGGTATCCGGCCTGCACCGCGCAATTACCCAAGCGCTGTTGAAGGTGCGGTGGTCATCACACATCGCCTCTTGCAGGATTACTATCGCGGTCGATGTATCCCCGCGAGTGTGTCGGCATTACTTGCGGAACCAGCGTTTCACTCGAGCGCATTTGCCCTGGTTCCCAAGAAGAACACCCCGCTCACCGTAGGTTGCAGAACGATCCATGATCTATCGGATCCACGAGGAGCACGAGTTTTACTGCATCTCGAAGTCGACGCTCTGCCCGAAGCAAGCGGTAGCCTATGTCCACCTCGATGATGACTATATCATCGACCCTTTGGAAGATCGAGAATTGCCCAGGATGTACGATCTTCCTGTATGCTGGTAGTGCCGAACGGCCCTGCCGAAAACGGCGAAATATCCTGGAGACGCTGTCCAGCCGAAGACTGATGCTCCCGATACAATGCCCACTTGCGAGCGTGGGATGTACCCCCCCCCCCCCCCTTGGGGGGGGGGGGTTCCCCCCCCCCCCCCCATTTGGGGGGGGGGGGCATGGTCAGAGTGTATCGGAACATGAAGGAATGCTTCCGCGATCATCGAGGTGGACATAGGCTACCGCTTGCTTCGGGCAGAGCGTCGACTTCGAGATGCGGTAAACTCGTGTTTGGACCCGAAGGGTGGCACGAAGGAAATTCAGAACATGGTCGCAGTGCTTCCATGCCGTCGGGATTGACTGGAATATCCCTGACATGACTGTCACGATTCCACTTCAAAAAGGTGAGAAACCAAGAAGGTGATCGCAGAGACACTTACAAAGAACTTCGTAACTCAAAAGAGACTGGACAGTCTGGTCGCAGTACTTCGCTACGTGATGACTTTCTTTCCGATTGCCAAACCGTTCATCCAACGTTTGGTCAGCGCTCAGTTAGCGACAAAGCGATGAATAAGAACAGATGATTGCGTCGCTACGAAGAGATCTACTTTGGTGGAACCAGTTGGTCTTTGAGAACGTGTTCGCAGGCGTTCCAATGACAATGTTCTGTATGGACTCGATCGAGTCTGACGGGTGGGTAGTGATACACGACGAACACAGCGTCACCATACATGGACTAACCCCAAACGCACCAAACGAACGGAATTCTCTACCCTAGTCGGCGAGACTGGAATTGCGAGCGCAGTGCTCGAGATGGTGAAGGCATGGTGTGCCGGCGATTCCCGGAGGACAACGTGGAATCATATTAACTTCATGTCTTCACGAGCTGGGAAGTCATACGTCTAGCTAAGATGTACAGCAGAACGCCTGGCGGGCAACAACATCTGAGACTTCTGGCTCTTGCACAGGCTGCCAGGAGGCTCAAACTCTCTGATCACAGAGTTTTCGGAAACACGACTGAAATGCGATCCTGTGATATATTTATATGCATCAACTCACTATCATGATTGTATGTTTGCGCAGACAGATTCGGAGCTATTATTGAGCAAACGAACTGCCTTAGGGGACAGCCATCAACGACTCGACCCTGGGGACGTACGCCAAGAAGTTTCGTCACTGGAGAAACTTCTGCGAAGAATTCGGATTCCCCATCTGGATCGATCAACTGCCGCTGGAACGGCAAGCAAGAATCGTAGGGCTCTCGCGGACAAGTAAACAAGTACCAAACTTTCGATGGCAAGATGGCGGCCGTTGCCTTCGCCTATAGAAGCGTGCGGAACGCCCGAACCAATTACAAGACCCCGGAATTTGAGCTCATTGCTCTTGGCTATAAGAGAACGAACAGCTGGGTGGAAAGAAAGCAGCCCGTTACCACGCCCATGTTGCGGGAAATCGATGCAATACTCTACCACCAACGGCGAAGCGAAAGCAACGAACACGCAGATATGTTATGGGGTCGATAGTTCTCGCGTTCTTCTTCCTTGACCGAAGCTCAGAGCTGTGGGATCCTGTATCTAAGGAAACCTCAGCGTGTTGGCAAACTATGTACGCCTACGAGACAACCATGGTTCATTGGTACAGCGGAGGGGGGGGGGTAGCGCAATCAGTGGAGATATTCTTTCAATCACATAAAGGTGATCGAACGAGGCAATACGGCACTATCAGACGCTATAAGTTTGGCCAGGCGTCGTTATGCCCAGTAAAAGCCGCGGAAGCTTGTTTATTGGCAAGGAACCGATGGATGCAATCGAGCATCCGCTTAGGGCCCTATTTAACATCGACCAGCTTGTCGACAACTATCCGGAAGACGGCGGTGGTCAAGCTAATCAAGGACGCCGCCAAAGGCTAGGGAGCAACCCAACAGAGTACTCAACACATTCCCTGAGAATTGCCGGTGCCTGCGCGCTACGGGCGGCAGAGAAAAGCGAACCAGTGATAAAGCTGATGGGGGAGATGGTCAAGTTGGTGTTTTTCGGCTTACACGCGAATCCGTCCTGGCATGCTACGCGGCGTGGCAGAGCACATGATCAGCGCATCAACTTGGGAGTGCCCAAACTCCAACGTCAGGCTTCAGAGGGTGCAGGCAACCAAGATTCACTAACTAATCAAATGACCGCGACAAATAAACCCGTATAATAGCTAGCGAGCCGGTTAACGCGTGAGGGGCAAAAATAAACCGTAGAAGCGTTGCTATAATAGACCCTGGATGCGCTTTATTTCCACGTGTGAAATGGATTACAGACAACGACGCATAAATTCGACACCACTGAACAGCATTCTCGATAGTATAACAATTCCTACCAGACCGACACAAAATCCGACAAAGAAAATAATTAGTTTTGATTGGTTAATATAACACATATAATTACATAGAACGATCAAAAAGAACAAAAAATGTTTTATTGTTAAATGGATACCTCAGGGTACCGAGGAATTTCTTTTTCGAACCTACGAATTACGGTTCTCTTCTTAATTGCTTTCCATGCGTCAATAGTATATGTTACCGCACGCAGTCGTTTTTCCTTGGCTGTACCCCACGTTTTCTTTGGGGGTCGTTTCGAAGCTTCGCTTTAAGTGGGCCCATTACCCCAACATCCAGCGGTTGGCAAACCGCTGTGCTGTAAGGTGGCAACGGGACCACTGTTGCATTTGTCTCTTCGGCAACAATTTGCTGCCCTTCTTCCGACACGTGGCGTCGAAAAAAAGGACAGCGGATTTGTCTATTTCAAATTAAAGTAGTTTCTCTACGTAGAATTTTCATACCGACGAATCCATCCATGCACTCTCTTGTATGGCGTAGAAGTGACCATCCGGATACTCTTCAACCTCACTTTGCTCGATTTTACCACCAGGGACTCCACGTATGATAAAATGTATTGACAATTTTGTTCCTAGCAAAAAATAATTCAAAAGTTTTCAAGAAATAATAAAATCTTACCACCATCACGTACAGTCAGCACGGCTGTCATGCGTCCTGCATGCCTATTTAATCCAACGATGTGAGTCGAACCCTTGCGTCCTTTGCCCGCCCAGCTTTTCGTTTCTTTGTTCCCCATCACTTCAATGCAACGTCGCGGCATGGACTCAATTAGCTTCTCTAGTGTCGAATGCTCAATACTGTTTCATGCAGCTAAGATAGCAGTAGTTAGCTCATTCACATTTGCGTACTGCCTACCGTTAGGATACACCTCCCGCCCCAGTAACGCCCACAGATTTTCTATGGGGTTTATCAGGAGTGCATGCGGACCAGTCAAGTATCTTGATGCTCTGCTCGTCGAAAAACTCCTTGGTTTCCCTGGAAGTATGGATCGAAGCATTATCCTATTGATAGATGAAATCAGTTCCATAATTCAGGTGAGCATAAGATAGCAAAAACTCCGACACAGTATGTACATGGTGTGCCGACGCCTGTCGACACACCAGTACCGCAAGCTTCGTCCTGCCCTTGACGCTGAAATCACCCAAACAATCACGGACCCGCCTCCGTTTTGCCATCTCACCGTCAACCTCGGTGGCCACCGGATATTCCGCCAGTAGTGCTGAAGGCCATCCGGCCCGTCCAGATTGAATTTTTTCTCATCAGAAAAAATGATGCTACCCCAATCAGCTTGGGGTGTGACCACCATGCGCTTTGTCCATGCTAGGCGGTAAGCCTTGTGCGCCGATGTGAGCGGCAGCGTGTTCTCCATTTTGGTGTAGATTAGCCAATCTACACCAGACAGGATCCGCCGAATGGTACATGTAGAGCACTGGCACTTACACTCGATCTTGAGCTGAGCCGTGGAGTAGTCGCCACTGCCTGCTTTACGTAGAAGTAGGCGCGCTGGTTGCTCAGAAACAACGAGTTTCCGCCCTGGTTTGCGTCGATCCCGATGGCCTCCAGCCAAAGAGCGTACGACAGCGTCACTCGATGTCCTGACCTTCTTTGCAATGTCTCAGATGGATAGCCCTCCCTCAAAGAGCCCACGAATGCGCCCCCTCTCCTCGTCCCTCAGCCACGTTGGCATGCCCTGGACAAAAACAGAATGGAACACAAAGCAAGGGGTCCTTGAGAGCGCCGCCCCGCCCACCAAAGTCATGGTTGGACAGCAAGCCGAGTGGTGCATGTGGTAGTGCAAAATCATTTCATCACACTTGTTTTGATATTAGTATTCGATAAGTGGCCGGAAGTTTGGACCACTAGGTCAGATCGAATTATTGTATGTGAGGTACCCTACAAACTGCGAAATCCGCGTTGTTAGCACAAACCCTGTACTACTTTACCCACAACAATCCTCATATCCAAAGCGGAGCCTCCGACTGTAAAAATTGAGTGAGTTATGACCAAAAGTGTGGGTGGCGGGTTTAATTTTGGCCAGGAGTGTAGTGGATCATGTTAAGGTGCACATTCCTGAAATTTAAGTGGGATTCGAACGAAATATCTCAAATCTGGAAATTTATGGAAATATTTAACGATACCTCTACTGTGCAGCAGTTTGATTTCCGATGAAATTGGCTTATAATGGGCAACCTCGTGATTTCATGTCGATATCTACCACTGACTCCTACTACCAGTAGGTAAAACCATTGATTTGACCGCATTTGGCTGGGTTTTCTTTCTATCATCACATTGTATCAAGTTTCAAGCTAGACAGCCAAGGGACTTTACGAAAAGCAAGTCTACGAATTCGGTGGAATCACAAGTACGACAGGATATCACGATATACGAGCTCATCTTAGACAGATTAACCTGTAGAGTGATACTGCTGACTGTAAAGCGTGTGGGCGTACGTGATGGCGACATTCAACACGCAGCTCTACTGTACCTACACGTACCTGTAACCGTGAACTAAATAAAAAAAAGTTGTTGAGAAAAGTGCTCGTAGCGATCCATAGTTGTCCGACTAGCACAGTAAGGATTGCATCGCGGTGGATAGGCAAGTGATAAAAGTGCAGACCGTGTCCTCACCGATTTCGATAAATCAGCATTTTCACCTCACGCTTGCAACGTCAAGCTTCTTGGTCGCCGGCGTCGTGAATCGTGGTTTTACAAAGTGGCTTCAAATTGGACCGCGAATGGATCTCGAGATTTATCATTGGCCTGTCTCTTCAGACGTGGCGTCAATGCGCGACTCGTCTGGACGGAGGGATGTCCACGATGCGGCGCTCTACGCGCTCCCTCCGTCTCCGTCGTCGACGTGTCATTCGCGATTTTAGACCATCGGAATCTCATCACCAAGTCGCAACAAGTGGAACTCGCTATGAAATCCGTCTCGGAGCTTTTTGGCGACAGGAATGACGTGGCCATCACCGCTGCCACTGCAGTGGCCGTGAGTCTGGGGCTGTCGTTGCTGCTGCACAGCACCAAGAAGAATAAGGCCATCGAAGCTCGGAGAGTGCCTCCTATGCCCAAGTCTACACTGCCTATTCTCAAAAGCTTGCTCGATATCGGTGGTACCGTCGACACGTTCCACGACTGGCTGTATGAACAGTCCGCCGAGTTCGACAATCGCCCTTGGATGTATCATATTCCTGGCCGTCCAGAGACCATCGTTCTCTCCTCCCCCGATACCATCGAGGATGCCATGTCCACTCAAGGCCACATCTTTCTACGTGGTCCGGTGGGGCAGTACACGAGCTACGATATCTTCGGCAAGGGTATGATCATCGCTGACGGAGACCAGTGGTACTACCACCGCAAGACAGCGAGCCACTTGTTCTCCATGCAGATGATGAAAGAAGCCATGGAATCCACTGTGCACGAGAAGCTCGAAGTCTTCTTGGACGTACTGGACATCTACCACAAGCGTGGTAAGCCGTTCAGTCTCAAGGAGGAGCTTCTCCACTTCACTATGGACGTAATTTCCAAGATCGGCTTCGGAGTGGAACTCAACACGCTCAAGGACAGTCCAGACCGCGACACGGACCACGAGTTCCTCGAAGCGTTCGACAGTGCTGGTGTGGGTTTTGCTGTCCGTGTTCAAACGCCCATCTGGGTCTGGAGGATCAAGAGATTCCTAAATATCGGATGGGAGAAGGTCTTCCAGAAAGATATCGCGAAGATGCACAACTTTATCAATAAAGTCATCATGGAGTCGATGCAGAAGAAGGCGGAGCTCGCTGCCAAGGGCGAGAAGATGGACGCCAAAGATTTAATCTCGCTCTTCATGGAGAGCAACCTGAGAGAGTCCGAAGACATGCACATCGAGGACGACGACGTGACTATTATGCGCGATATGGTCATGACCTTTATCTTCGCTGGCAAGGACACGACTGCACACAGCATGAGCTGGTTCGTCGTCATGATGAACAGATACCCGGACGTGTTGCGTAAGATCCGTGAGGAGATGAAGGAGAAGCTCCCGGGACTGTTTAATGGGGAGATTAGAGTGCCCACTCAGGAGCAAGTCCGTAACCTCGTGTACCTGGAAGCTGTGATCAAGGAGAACATGCGTCTCACGCCTTCTACAGGCTTTATCGCACGCGAGTGCATGAAGGACACGACGCTGGTGGACGGTACGTTCATCAAGAAGGGCCAGACGATCATGGTCTCATCATACTGCAACGGACGCAACAAGAAGTCGTGGGGCGAGGACGCTCTCAAGTTCAAGCCTGAGCGTATGATCAACCCAGAAACCGGCAAACTGCGCGTGTTTTCACCGTTTAAGTTCAGCGCCTTTGGCTCTGGACAGCACGTGTGCATTGGTCAGAGATTCGCTATGATGCAACTCAAGATGACGCTGGCTGCGCTTTTTAGCAAGTTCGACATCAAGACAGTGGAGGACCCGTGGGACATCACGTACGAGTTCTCCATTGGTATCCCGGTCAAGGGTCCACTGGAAGTGGAAGTTACGCCTCTGGCATCGACTTCTGTGTAGACGTTTACATGGTAGCAGTCCCAGCAAATACCCTAAAAACGGTAAATTCTGGAGAATTGCTACATGTAATTTGTTATTTGTTGCTCCCAAATTAATTCTGTGCATTTCAAATGGAGCAGCTAACACTTGGACGGTGATTACATTTACACGCATGTAAGAAGATCAACTATGCCATGTAGACGTAGATGGTACTTTGCCACAAGTCAGTCAGGATGATACACATGTATGTACATTATTTCTTCAGCATTCTACAGTAACAAATCGACCTCAAAACTGCGAATCATGATTTCGCGAAGATAAACATGACTAGCGCACCAGTAGACAAACTTACCAGTTGAGCGACCGATACTATGAGTTCCGGTCGTCACAGATTTCGTCCACTACGATAATATATAGCTTCGTAGAGCCCACAAAGTACTTCGAAGTACATTCGTTTTCTTGATCGATAAAAGCTCCACGAGACTGGGATTTCACATGTCAGTACATGTAGTCTACCATTGAAGTAACTGGATATATGCGATAAAATGAACCAGTGTCGATCGACACCGCGCATATTGCAAAATCGAAAATAAAAGTATGAAACAATCTCTATTTCTAAATTCCTGAAAGAGAAAAGTTTCCTGTATAATATGATGGATCATATTAAACTCCTGCAATGCGCTCCTCTTCGAGGATATTGCTTCAACGTCAAGTTCTTCGACAAGAACAAGATCTCCCGAAGATCGGCAGAATCGAGAGAGGGAAACGCGTCGGTGGCCAATTTACGACACTCGTGGCCCTTTTCTCCATGCCTGACGTCGGCAGCATCTGGGAGGTCTCCGCTATCCACGCGCTCCCTCTGATAAACAAGTCTCACTTCAGCTTTTCAAGGCCTGCGTATCCAGCCCGCCGGAATTCGTGGCACCAAATCGGACAAGCAAGCTAGCCATGAAATCCGTCTCGGAGCTTTTTGGTGACAAGAACGACGTAGCGGTCACCGCTGCTGCCGCAGTAGCTGTGAGTCTTGGCCTGACGTTGCTACTGCGCAGCTCGAAGAAGGACAAGTCCATCGAAGGTCGGAAGCTGCCACCCGTGCCAAAAACCACGCTCCCCATTCTCAAGAACATCCTGGACGCTGGTGGCAATGCCGAACGCTTCCACGACTGGCTAAACGAACAATCCACCGAATTCAACAACCGGCCGTGGATGTTTTCGATCCCTGGCCGTCCCGACAACATCGTGCTGTCCTCACCAGAAATGTTCGAGGATGTGCTTAAGACCCAAGACGACGTGTTCCTGCGAGGCCCCACGGGTCAGTACATCAGCTACGACCTGTTCGGCAACGGTATGGTCATCACCGATGGAGATCTGTGGTTCTACCACCGCAAAACAGCCAGTCACCTCTTCTCCATGCAAATGATGAAGGACGTGATGGAAGCTACAGTGCGTGAAAAACTTCAAGTGTTCCTGGATGTTTTAAACGTCTACGCGAAGCGTGAGCAGCAGTTCAGTGTTAAACAGGAGCTGAGTCACTTCACCATGGACGTCATCGCCAAGATCGCGTTTGCCATCGAGCTGGACACGCTTAAGAACAGCCCCGATAGAGACGAAGACCACGAGTTCTTGCAAGCCTTCAACAAGGCCTGTGTGGCGTTCGGTGTGCGTATCCAGTCACCAATGTGGCTCTGGAGACTCAAGCGATACCTTAACGTTGGCTGGGAAAAAGTATTCAAAGAGAACAACACTATTATCCAGAACTTCATCAACGACGTGATCGTCAAGTCGATGAACAAGAAGGCGGAACTTGCAGCAAAAGGCGAGAAAATGGTGGCGAGAGATCTCATCACCCTCTTCATGGAGAGCAATCTTCGACAGACAGAGGATATCCACATCGAGGACGACGACGCTACTATTATGCGCGATATGGTCATGTCTTTTGCGTTCGCTGGCAAGGACTCGACGGCTGACAATATGTGCTGGTTTATCGTCAACATGAACCGGTATCCTGAGAAACTGCGTAAGATCCGCGAGGAGATGAAGCAGAAGCTGCCAGGTCTGTTGACTGGCGAGATTAAGGTCCCCACGCAGGACCAGATCCGCGACTTGGTGTACCTTGAGGCCGTGATTAAGGAGAACATGCGTCTCCACCCGTCCACGGCTTTCATCGTGCGTGAGGCTATGCAGGATGCAATTCTCGTTGATGGAACGTTCGTGCGTAAGGGTCAGACGTTGATGGTCTCCTCGTACTGCAATGCACGCAACAAACAGACCTGGGGCGAAGACTGTCTGGAATTTAAGCCTGAGCGTATGATTGATCCCGAATCGGGGAAGCTGCGTGTGCTGTCTCCCTATGTCTTCAGCGGCTTCGGGTCGGGTCAGCACGTGTGCATCGGTCAAAAGTTCGCTATGATGGAGATCAAGATGACTCTGGCGACTCTTTTCAGCAAGTTTGACATCAAGACGGTAGAGGATCCGTGGAAACTGACGTACGAATTCTCTCTCACGACTCCGGTCAAGGGCGGTCTTAACGTGGAAGTCACACCTCTCACTCCCTTGACACCTGCTGCATCAGCCTAAATACTACTGGGATTGCAGTGTTGCGGTCAGTAGAGAAAGAATTAAGAATTGAATGGAATTTGAACTTCGAGTATTTTTTCATCACTGTTTTCATCGATAAAGATTTTCTCAGTTTTTTTTTTTTTTTTTCTGGTGTTACAGTAGGTTTTACTCCTATAGCAGTAACTTGCATCGAAGATGTGATGTAGGCACACAAGCGTGTGGTTGGTAAGTTGTCCGCTCCACTCTTCAATCGAGGAGGGCGTTTATACTCTCATTTATAATTTACAGTTTCACCAATAAAGTACACTTCACTACTGCACGAAACATTGAGCTAACTATCCCATCGTAGCTGCTTCACCTCACAGCATCCGGATGACTATAACATGTAATCACATGTACTCGCGGATGGCCGCAGCAATCTTGTGCAATCCCCGAGAGGAGGCGTATTGTGCCAGCATGAGATCATCCGTGACCTTGATCATTGGTTTAGCGTGGTGGAAGAGTAGGATCCTCGCCACCTTATCGTCGTCATCGTCGTTCGAGATGACAGAGATCAATAGCGGCGTCTGGTGTCGGTCGTTTAAGGCATTCACCGACGCTCCAGCCTTCAGCAACATATAGGAAATAGTAAATCCATCGGGGACATTGGGACTAGCAGCATAATGCAGCGGGTGGTTGCCTCGACTGTCAGCCTGGTACAGCAGTTCGGGCTCCGTTTCAAGGATCTTCTTGATCGCCTGCTTGTCTCCTTTCCGAACGGCATTATGAAGGATCGACCGCCCGTACTTGTTGCTCTTCTTGGGAGATGTAGGCTTATCTTTGGCCGTAGGAGACGTAGCACGAGTCTCCGTCTCTGGTTTATTCAGACCGTGGAGCGATAAACACTTGGCAGACTGTGAGCGACCGCGCTTCGAGGCTGTGGAAGGCATGTGTCGGTCTGTCGCCTCCGCTTCAGGAGGCGCCGAGTGTGATCGCTCAATCCTCGCATCTTTGGAGCGAGTAGAGGCGACAATCTCCTCAATTTCTGCAATGGGGGACTCCTTTTCCTTGCTCATGGTGGCAGTCTCGGAGATCGTCACAAGGTGCGGTGAGTACTTCATTCGACGAGGCATAATTGCGTTGGGTTTGAGTCTGTACAAGGGCGTACAGGGTCCAATACTACCGAGGGCAGTGCCAAGTCGCTTCTTGAGCTGCAAGCGTCAAAAGCGCAAATGCTTGAGCCTTTGACCAGCGCATGGTCCGACTCAACTCTCCTGGGTAAACTACAGAAGCAGCATCGTCGCCATGTGTCGTTGCGAATCCATCCGATACCGTTCCAAACGCATCGGACGCCACGAAATACTGCTTGACTACCAGCCCGTATGTGCATCTGTGGCGACATTGATGTCGGCTGTTTCCTGGACTCTCGGCGCACTGCCGTCTGGCTGGCCCGTCGGCGACGCACCAAAGCTACGAGCGTTGTCAAGTTGTCGATGAAAAACGAAAGATCCATGGCCACGAGAGGCTCCTTTGGCTTCGACCCTGGTCGACAATTTACTACAAGTACTGCCCTGTAAAGCCATGGAACATGAACCTCATCGATAGATGCGGATTTTGTATCCAATATGGTGCATTAGTCCGTGTTAATAGCCACGAGTAATGCGTTGAATAGCGAATGGTTTCTTATGTCGGCGGCAGATGCCCTAACGTGCTGGAATTTCCTCCGCTGGCAAACATGTCAATTTCCTTGACGCCTTTGTCATGTGGACGCATAGCCCGGCACAAATGTCTTAGCCCTTGATTATCAATCCGGCTACAGTTTTAGGTCCGTCGTCACGCGTCGACGAGTGCGATGCCGCGATGTTGGAAATTGGAGCGCGATTGCTGTACGTCCAGCCGTTCACGAGCCACGAAACTATTCCACGTCTGGGCTGCAGTCACTGCATCCGTGTCCCTCTTTTGATAGGTGTGCATGAAAATCGTGTTCGTAGTACGCTCGAATTCATGCCGCAACCAGAGCGATGTGGTCACCCTATGGCCACGACTTCATCGAAGGCAGCTTTTAGGTGATCAGGTCAGCCCGAGTGTTGTACACACGTTGAAGTGCTTTAATCAATAATTTCTTCAATGAAACATGACGCCCGCCTCAAGAACTTTTATGTTTCTTCAGTTTTTCATTTCATTGTTCGTCCACACCTGCGTCTATGTTGTACACAAACCACGCGGTCGCGGCCAAACTATCTTCACCTTTCCGCTTTCGCCTTGATCATCCCTTTGATCTGATGCGTGTGCAAGTGAAGGTGTAGCTGCACTTGGTTGATCAGTTCTGTGAACGTCGAGCACTCAAAAGTGAGGAAGAAGAAGGTCAGGACATACTCGGTCACGCTGATCATTCCAAAGAGCAGCACAGCGACCCAGGACCACCTGGACACGACGATCAACATCATGTGAGTCACAAACACGGCCAAAGCTGCCACGAAGAACGCCACCGCACGCCAGAGTCGAAGGTGACGAGCTGCAACGGCCTCATTACGACCGATAAAGAGCATTTCCTGCACCTCCTGAAGACACACAGCGTCCGCGGCCGCTTTATCCTCGTCGCTCGGCTCCAACCCGTTCTCGTCGCAGTGTGCGCACGTTGTGGTTGGACAAGAGCGTTCCGTCCCATTAGACACGACAGCGTATCCCTCTTGCTGCTCACACATATGTGGTCGAGGCTCGCTGAACACGAACTCTGCTTTAACGCCAAAATGGTCCGATAAGGGAGTTTTTTCGCCTTTTGCATCGGTGAAAAAGCCTTTAAAGATGCTGCTCTCCACCAAATGCCAGTCCGACTGACCCTTAGGACGTTTATCGATCTTGTACATGACATAGTCCATACGCATAGGGTGCTCTCCGTGCGAGTATTTGTTATCCGGCGACGCGAACGTCAGTCCGTCTTCATCGTTCGTGTCTGTATACGCGTCTCTCAGGCTCAGTAATTGCTTGGGAATTTTAAGCTCCAGACAATCCGGAGACGAGTTGAAGTCTCCGCAGACGATCGTTAGGCTGTTTCTATTGGTAGCCGAGATGAACTGCGTGAGTTCGTAGCTCTGGCCTGTTCGGTGGCCTCGATAGAAATCTCCTGGGCCGGGTTTGCCTCCGACGTTGTAGTTGGCCAATAGATGCGTCACGTACACGTCGATCTGCCCAGCAGGAGTCTCAACCCGCAGTAAACCCACTCCTTTATTGGCCACAAAGTCTGACTCGTGCAGGGCGTACGGACGTCCACTGAGACTGAACGAGTGATACAGCGCATTAGAGATGGGGAACTTGGACAGTATCAGTAGTCCTGTGCCGAATGAGTCGGCTCCCATCGGGAACGGGAAGCCTACGGCTGGATTGAAGTAGTGGTAGTAGTGGAAGCCGCTCTTTTGGGCTTTAGAAATGACCAGGTTCCGCTCGCGAATGTGCCAAATTTCTTGCAGTACAACGAGATCAAAGTCACTGGAGATGGCGCTGGCGATCTCTGCAGCGCGCTCCGTGCATTTGGGGGCAACTGGGAGGCCTGAAGCAGCAGACATGTGCATGTAGGTCAGTTTCTACCGTTGCTATCATTTTTTTTCTAAGTGGGAAACGTGTACATACCCCAAGCGTTGAGACTCAGCACGCGTAGTTTGACGTTCTGCTTGTCCTGCTCGGTCCACAGCGGCCACTCGGCTCGAGAGGGCGCGGGTGTAGCCACGGGATCCAGGTTGAATACCTCCAACAGCACGCGCTGACGAATCCGCTCCACGACGTGCTCCTCCATTTCTACCGCTTTAGAAACGACTGACGCGGCGATTGCGACTTGGTAAGTGAAGTGTACGACCTGAGAATTTTTGGCGAGTTTGGATTGGGCGAATGACGTGGCCGATCGTCGGAAGAACGGCAATCGTAATCTTGTGTGTGGTTGTGGTATCCGATTCTTGTCGGTCGACAGACGTTTGTTGCTCCACGATCAACACGATAGAGCACTAGATTTTCGTCGTTGTGCTTCAGACTGGGGCTTTGAGTGACCTAGCTGTTGTTATTGCAATGCATTTGAGTGTTACATCGGTTAGAAATACAGTTTTGAGCTGTGCAGGATAGGACACTAAGCGAGCGTGGGGCTCAGAGTAGCACCAGTGGGGGTAATGGATACTTTCATCGACGTGTGTACTTAGCTGTACTGTTGACGAGGTAGAGCTCGGCGAACATTGATGGGAGGGTTGTACTGCATGCATGGAATGTAAAGAGCTCAACTAGTTTAACACATCGAATTCAACTTGGCTATGCTCGCTCAGGTTGTTGCACGACCATTGTCTCAAGAGCTTCAAAGTCAGCAGCAATTACTCGACAAGGCATCGTTGTTTTACACGGGAAGACTGGCGATCGACTTGCTATTGCAGCCACTGCACAATAGAGCTCTCCATGCGCAAGAATGACACGGCTGCTAGCGACCCTCCAAACATCCAGACATTCGTACCAATCGATTGCAGACGAGCTCGAATCGATTATCGTACGAGTAATAAGCAAAATTTAGAGCGGTGGTAGATGGTGGCAGACGCTTCTCACTTATGGGGGGATCCGCGGTCTACACAGCATCTAGAAGTGACCTTGGAACCATCTCCAGGTATTTGTTTGTGAATTTGCGCATTAGCAAGCCGATGCCCTTCTAGAACCTGCACATAGCATCTTTCTGCCAGTTTGGCAAATCAGTATGGATGAATATCATCAAGGTGCCGACACATAATTTTATCATCATTTAAGTATAGGAAAATCGCAGCAGTGTGCGCCATTTGACCAATGACATTCATCTATGTATCTAATCTACCAATAATATCCACTAGGGGTAGGTTTACAGGCTACCGACATTGTGCCGACGTATAATGTAGGCACGGAGGGCAGAATATGCAGCGGCTCAATACGAGCC